TGAAGCATTCAGCTCAGTGCAAGGAGACCCAGGTTCGATCCCTGGGTCCAGAAGATCCCCTGGAGGAGGGCCTGGCAACCCACTCCAGGATTCTTGCCTGGAGAATCCCATAGACAGAGGAGCCTGGTGGGCTACAGTCCGTGGGGTCACAAAGAGCCGGACACAACTGGAGTGACTGAGCACGCAGGCACCCCTCCGACCACCATGTGCGTCACCCCAGAAAACTCCCTCCTGCCCCTTTCCAGCCAATTACCCCCGACCTCAAGAGATGGCTGTTAGCCCCTCCATCACACAGATGCGCTTTGCCTGCTCTCTGCCTTCACACAAACAGAATCGTGCAGTGCGTTCTCTCTTGCGTCTCTGCTTCCACCTTCTTTCACTCACTATACTGTCTATTGAAAAGTTACTGTTGAGGGCGATTCCTTGGTGGCTCAGTGGTGAAGAATCAGCCTGCCAATGCAGGAGACACAGGTTCGATCCCTAATCCGGGAAGATCCCACACGCCGTAGAGCAACTGAGCCCAGAGCGCCACAACTACTGAACCCTCGCTTTGAAGCTTGAAAATGCTGGAGCCCGTGCAACGCGACAAGAGAAGCCACCGCAATGAAAGCCTGCTCGTCGCACCTAGAGAAAAACCCACACAGCAACAAAGACCCAGCGCAGTCAAAAACAAAATGAATACATACATTTTCTTTTAAAATTAGTGTTTGGGGAATTCAGTATGATGTAGGTGATGGAGAAATCCAGATGCTGTTACTGAAGAGAGGGTTTAAAAACTGAAGATGCCAAAAGTCACACGATAGTCAAAAATATTTATTTTAAAAAGTTACTGTTTCATGACTAGAAACATAATACACATGTATAGCAAAAGTTACAAATACTGTACAAGAGAAAGAAAAGACCACTCAGCGACCCCCACACCTGTTACCCGATCGTGACCTTCTGGTGTGTTCCTTACACAACTTTCAGCGAAAGTGAACGTCGCTCAGTCATGTCCGACTCTTTGTGATTCCATGGATATAGTCCATGGGATTCTCCAGACCAGAATACCGGTGCGGGTAGCCTTTCCCTTCTCCAGGGGATCTTCCCAACCCAGGGATTGAACCCAGGTCTCCCACATTGCAGGTGGATTCTTTACCAACTGAGACACACAACTTTCAAGGCAAATGAAAAAAAGCCTTCTATGTGAATCAACTCACATTATATTAAGACTTATCCTACAGCCCTTGAATCTCAGTTGAGACAGTGCAGGTACAGACGTTTTTCCGAGTTAGTGCGTGTGGGTTGACCTCAGATTTCACATTGTATTCCTTAGAAGCCGGTCCCCAGATCTGGGAAAGGTGGAACACGGGAGAAATAGGAGCTGAAAACAATTCCAAAGTCTTTGCCCGGAGTGCCTGGAAGGCCAGAGTGGCCGGCGGCTGAGATGGGAAGTCTGGGCGAGATGTCAGCTGGTGGGGTGCCAGTTTCTTCTGGCTGCGTGGGGCTGAAGCGCCCCCAGATCGGCGGGGAGATGGAGGAGCTTCTTTGCCGTCCAGTGGTCACTGGCTTATGCTCTCCACTCCATTTCCTGGGGGGCGGTCTTAGCCCTCTGTTTTCAGGCCCCGGTGTCCCCGCTCCCTGTGGTGCTCTGGCCCTAGGCAAGCCAGCGCTGTGGCCTCCCTCCAAGGCCAGAGTCTCTCTTGCGTCAGGGGCCCCCCGTGCCCCCCACACCAGCTCCTCATGCTTAGAGACCCCAGTTGAGCAGAGCGGGCTGAGACTGCAAGGGGCCCAGGAGTTCAGCTTCGGGGAGTCTGGGCCTGACCGGCTCATTTCCAGGGGTTCACAACACATGGGAGATTCTAGGGGGCCACAGAGGGCAGAAATCCATCTGCATGTGTCTTCGGGGCTGTGAGGAGGCTCCTGCCAAAGCTCTGGGGAGAGTTGAGGGAAGTGGCGGCTGGGGTCACTCCCTCCTCTGGGTTTCCCAGATGTCATTCAGGCTGCCAAGGACCAGCCTTGACCTTCAAAAATAAGCTCACTGCCGCTGACTCTTGTCCCCAGAGGCCTCTCGCCAGGACCTGGAGAAGTATCTGGTTCCAGGCGAGCACCCAGGGCTCTCCACCCACCTCCAACTTCCTTTCCATCTCCACTGGCTCCCGGCCGGAGACCCACCACACGGTGGGGCCCCAGCCCTGGGTCTTGATCTCAGTCAGCCCTGCAGTCCCTGGGAGTTCTCAGAGTGCCCTCAGATGTCACACAGCCTGGACCCCAGACGCCAGAGCCTGGGGTCCTCCTGCTACACAGGTCACACAGCCTGGTCCTTGCAGACTCAGCCTACACCAACCTGGCAGCAAGTCCAGGTGGGGCTGGCCTGAGCCCAGGCTCTGACCCCAAGGCCCAGGGTGAACCGCCCATGCACAAGTTCAACTCTCCCATCTTGGACCACCATCACCAGACTCAAGAGAGACCAGTCCCCATGGGTTCCTCATGAACACCCCCGCCTTCCCCCACAGCTCCAGGGACGACCATATAAGTGCACACCCACCCCTCACATGGGGTCTTAGTGCAGGACTGTATTTCCTTCCAGAATATTCTGTACAGATTTTCTTTAAATGTTGGTCTATACTAGACACACTGATTTGTAAAGCATGTTTCATTAAAGAGATGATGTATCTCCAAGATAATAGTTTCTTTGTGAACATGTTAAACTCTTCATCAGTTTTTTTTTTTTTTTAATTTGGCCACACCATGCAGCTTGTGGGATCCTTGTTCCTGACCGGGGATTGAACCCACGCCCTCGGCAGTGAAAGCATGGAGTCCTAACCATCAGACCACCAGGGGATTCTCTCAAACTCTTCAGCAGTTCTTAAACCCCGTCTTCAATAACATCCTCTGGGTTTATCCATCACCTACTATGTATCAGGCATCATGCTGAAAGCTTCCTGTGCGTTCAGCCTCACAGCAGCTCTGGGAGGTGGGAACTTCACAGAGGATGGGCTCAGAAAGGCCCATTGCTACCTGAGGCCACACAAGTTATAGTAGGCAGTCAGGATTCTAACTCACGGCTGTATGACCCGGAGTCCCAGCCCTCACCAACCAGGCTGCAGGCTCCTTACTCAGAAAATGCTCTTACCCCAATTTCCATCTTGTTTCACTTTGAGGGACTCATTGGAAGGGACCCTGATGCTGGGAAAGATTGAGGACAGGATGAGAAGGGTATGACGGAGGATGAGATGGTTGGATGGCATCACTGACTCAATGGACATGAGTTTGAGCAAATTCTGGGAGATGGTAAAGGACAGGGAAGCCTGGCGTGATGCAGTCCATGGGATCACAAAGAGTTAGACATGACTGAGTGACTGAATACAGACTCAGCAACAAACTCAGCAACAACAGACTTCCCAAAGCTTAGCTACAGACCCCCAGGTCAGACGCATCAGAGAGACCTGGGTTCAAGCTCCAGCCCTCCAGTCTCTTGGCTGTGTGGCCGTGGACCCCTCAGGACCCCTCTTTGAGGCTCAGTTTCTCCATCTGTGCAATGGGGCGATCCACCTTGCAGGGGGCCATCCAGGCAAGACACCCAGCCCACCAGGCTCTCATTGGCCTCTTGTCCTGGGAAGCTGCCCCCACAAAGCATCTACCAGGTGGGCGCGAGTGGAACAACACTGTGAGGAGCTGGTCGCTCTAGCTCCTGGCAAGGAGCTCAGGCCCCGCTCAGGCAAGAACCTTAAAATCCTTTGACAGGTCCCTCCCGGTATTACAGAGCCCCTGTCAAAGCTGGAGAATTTTCCCAACAAGGTTCCCAGTCAGTTCAGTCCAGTTGCTCAGCTGTGTCCAACTCTTTGCGACCCCATGGACTGCAGCATGCCAGGCTTCCCTGTCCATCACCAACTCCTGGAGCTTGCTGAAACTCATGTCCATCGAGTCAGTGATGCCATCCAACCATCTCATCCTCTGTCGTCCCCTTCTCCTTCTGCCCTCAATCTTTCCCAGCATCAGGGTCTTTTCCAGTGAGTCAGTTCTTTGTATCAGGTGGCCAAAGTATTGGAGTTTCAGCTTCAACATCACTCCTTCCAACAAATATTCAGAGTTGATTTCCTTTAAGACTGACTGGTTTGATCTCCTTGCAGTCCAAGGGACTCTCAAGAGGTTCCCCAGGCTGGGACAAAAATCTGGGATGGCACATGGAGAGACAGCCATTTACAACCTACTTTGGGGACATCTCCAATGGTCCAATGGTTAAGACTCCAGGCTTCCGATGCAGAAGGTATGGGTTTGATCCCTGATGGGGGAATTAAGATCCCACATGTCTCGTGGCAGGGTATACAATAAAAGTAAAGAAAAGTAAAATTAAATAAAACCTGCTCTGACCCCTGGGTCCCCCGGGTGGGCCCTGGATGCAGAGGCCAGCACTTGGCAAACTTGCTTGGTCAACCTTCTCCCTGGGGTTCCCAGCTGCCCTCTCCTCCTGTCCCGGGCCTTGGACATGGGAATGTCCTCGCACCTTTCAAGTCTTTTCAGGAAGACTGCATCCTAACGGAGGCTTCCCTTGACATCCTGGCTAAAGGACCCACCCCTCCCCCACTCTCCTTGCACTCCCTGGCTTTTCTCCTGAGTTGCATGCTTGCTGTGTGCCCAGCTGCCCAGAGCTCTATTTTCTGGTCAGCTGGTTTCTCCTCCAGTGTGTCCCACACTTGGCAGTGAGCCCTGTGTCACTGCCGTGAACGAGTCATCTCTAGATCTCCATCACCCACACTCCAGCCAGGCATACGGTAGGTGTCAACCAATATTTCCTAAATGAATGATCAAAGCAAATCACAGTAAGAACAAAACTCAACCCTAAGTTGGCACAGATGTGGTCATGGCCCCAGCAGGAGGGGCTTACCTGGGGCTGGGGGCATCCAGAGACTCTTTGGGAGGGAGGCTCCCAGGCGACGAAGGGACTCCCTGCGGGTTAGGTTGCTCTCTGATAGCAGGATCCATAGTCCACCGGCCCTGGGACAGGCCAGCAAATCTCAATGAGGAAAGGGAAGTTGAGGCCTGGGAGGTTTGAGGCCAGCTATGGTGGGTGGAAAGGGCACTGCAGCAGGAGTCGGGAGACCCAGGCTTGACTCTACCTCTGTTGTTCATGGGCTGGTCGGTCTCTGACAAGTGGCTGGCTTTCTTTTGCAGAGCCTCAGTTTCCTGATCTGTAAGATGGGGCCACAACGTTTCTCTTGCCTGTACTGATACACAGACTGTTCACATGCACGGGCATCTAAAACATGGGACAGTGGTAAGGGTTGCAGGCAACAACAGAAAATGCTAAGCACTAGGACTGAGGGATCTGAATGGATCATGGCAGCTACTATTGTTACTGTTATTGCTATTATTATGTGCTGTCCTTTTTTGGACTGACAGGAAGCCAAGGCCTTCTACAGGCCCAATTTCTATTCAAACAGCTTTTGCTTCCTCCTGTCCATTTAATCTGCATATTACTTGGGAACCTCGCAAGGCAAATATTTTCACCCACCCCTTCCTTGGGCACTTCTATCCCCTATCTATCCCCAGTCTGTCCTTATTCCTCCATCTGTTCTGCTAATGTTTGTTGTTGTTCAGTCATTAAGTTGTGTCTGACTCTTTGTGACCCCATGGACTGCAACACATCAGGCTCCTCTGTTCTCCCCTATCTCCCAGAATTTGCTCAAACTCATGTCGATGATGCCATCCAACCATCTCATCCTCTGTCATCCCCTTCTCTTCCTACTTTCAATCTTTCCCAGCATCAGGGACTTCTCCAATGAGTGATTCTTTCCATCAGGTAGCCAAAGTACTGGAGCTTCAGCTTCAGCATCAGTCCTTCCAATGAATATTCAGGATTGATTTCCTTTAGGATTGACTGGTTTGATCTCCTTGCAGTCCAAGGGACTCAAGAGTATTCTCCAGCACCACAATTCCAAAGCATCAGCTTTTCAGCCCTCAGCCTTCTTTGTGTTGGAGAGAGCCTCCAACTCTCACATCTGTACATGACCACTTGAACAACCATAGCTTTGACTAGACTGACCTTTGTCGGCAAAGTGATGTCTCTGCTTTTTAATACGCTGTCTAAATTTGTCACAGCTTTCCTTCCAAGGAGCAAGCAAAGCATCTTTAATTTCAAGCCACTGCCCCCAGTGATTTTGCAGCCCAAGAAAAGAAAATCTGTCACTGCTTCCACTTTTCTCCCTTCTATTTGCTATTAAGTGATGGAACCAAATGCCATAATCTTAATTTTCTTAATGTTGAGTTTCAAGCCAGGTTTTTTACTCTCCTCTTTTACCTTCATCAAAAGGCTCTTCAGTTGCTCTTCACTCTCTGCCATTAAAGTGGTGGTGGTGGTGGTTTGGTCACTAAGTCGTGTCTGACCCTTGTGACCCAGGCTTGCGACCCTTGTAGCCCACCAGGTTCCTCTGTCCATGGGATTCTCCAGGCAAGAAGGCTGGAGTGGGTTGCCTTTTCCTTCTCCAGCCATTTATCTAAGGTTGTTGATATTTCTCCTGGCAATCTTGATTCCAGCTTGTGATTCATCCAGCCTAGCATTTCACATGATGTGCTCTGCATATAAGGTAAACAAGCAGGATGACAATATACAGCCTTGACGTACCCCTTTCCCAATTTGGAGCCAGTCTGTTGATCCATCTCCGGTTCCAGCTGTTGCTTCTTGATTCACATGCAGGTTTCTCAGGAAATAGGTAAAGTGGTCTGGTACTCCCATCTCTTTAAGAATTTTCCAGTTTGTTGTGATCCACACAGTCAAAGGCTTTAGTGTAGTCAATGAAGCAGAAGAAGATGTTTTTCTGGAATTCCCTTGCTTTCTCCAAGATCCAGTGACTATTAGCAATTTGATCTCTGGTTCCTCTGCCTTTTAAACCCAGCTCGTACATCTGGAAGTTCTCAGTTCACATATTGCTAAAGCCTAACTTGAAGGATTTTGAGCATAACATTGCTAATATGTGAAATAAGTGCAGTTGTACGGTAGTTTGAACATTCTTTGGCATTGCCCTTCTTTAGGACTGAAATGAAAACTGACATTTCCAGTCCTGTGGCCACTGCTGAGTTTTCCAAATTTGCGGACATACTGAGTGCAGCACACCTACTATGTGCCTGACACCATGTCTTCAGCTTTGAGACCCCTCTGGAAACATTCTTATACACATCAATGAGATCATGCCTTTGCTTTGCCCCCTCTCATTTTAAAAAATATTTACTTTTATTTATTTGGCTGCGCCAGGTCTTAGTTGCAACAAGTGGGATCTAGTTTCTTGACCAGAGACGAAACCCAGGCCCCCAGCATTGGGAGCGTGGAGCCTTAGCCACTGGACCACCAGGGAAGTCTTTGCTTCCTCTCTCTGTGTCTGTTTTCTCATCTGCAGAGTGCATTTAGAGAGAAGCCCCTATTTTGGAAGGCTCCTACCTCCGTCTGTAAAGCTGCTGCTGCTGCTAAGTCGCTTCAGTTGTGTCCAACTCTGTGCGACCCCATAGATGGCAGCCCACCAGGCTCCCCCGTCCCTGGGATTCTCCAGGCAAGAACACTGGAGTGGGTTGCCATTTCCTGTAAAGCAGCCCAGGGCAATGCAGGCTTTGTAAGGTTTGGAGTTCACCTGAGTTGAGAGACCCTAACAGAAAGGATTACAGAATCAGAAGAGGCCAGGAGAGAGGGAAGGAGGGGTCTTGAAGCCGAAACTCTGCTGGGAGTTCACTAAACCTTTGATGATTACCTCCTCTGACCCTCCCTCTAACCCTATACGGTGGAGGTGGGAGGCGGCATGCTGTCATCCCATTTTACAGATGAGAACAATGAAGGAAAAAAATATTCATGACATCACTCCAGAGGTGGTAAGGAGGGGTGGGGGGACTCCCGGTAGGTAGCAAATAGCAGAACTCAGGGGAGAGGAGCTCCCCAGCACCTGCTCTTTCGCTCTCAGAAGAGGCAGCAGGACGGAGGCACACAAGACTGTTGTGTTCCTGGGACAACAGCTACTTTGTAATCCCAGTGGTCTGCCCTGCCCTCCTCCACCTCCACACACCCCAGCTTAATATCGGGCAGGGAACTCAAGACCCTACTGTTCCCTAACCCACCCCAGGGCTGGGGACCACCCCTCCTGGAATTTTTCTGGTGTCTCCTCTCACCCAGGAGGTTTCCAGGGCCCTTCTCTGCCACCCATTTCCCCCCAGACCCAGGAGCCCAGAGCAGCAGGGACTGTCCTCACCATGGCAATAGGAACACAGGTGAGGTGGATGGTACAGCTGGAAGGATACGGGGTGAAAGGAAGGGGGGCAGGAAGACCCCTGGCTTTGGTAGGATGCTGCTGAGGCTGTTTCTACAAAGCTGGAGTCTGACTTTTCACATCTGTGAAAAAGACTTAAAAATGCCTAAAGCCTGGACTTCCCTGGTGGTCCAATGGTTAAGAACCTGCCTGCTGGGACTTCCCTAATGGTCCAGTGGCTAAGACTCTGAGATCCCAGCACATGGAGCCTGGGGTTCGATCCCTGGTCAGGGAACTAAGATCCTACATGCTGCAACTCCGGGAGCTGGTGATGGACAGGAAGGCCTGGCGTGCTGCAGTCCATGGGGTTGCAAAGAGCCGGACAAAACTGAGCGGCTAACTGAACTAATGCCGCAACTAAGACCCGGCACAGCGAAAGAAAGAAAGAGAGAGAGAGAAAGAAAGGAGGGGACACAAGTTCAGTCCCTGGTCAGAGAAGATTCCACATGTCTCAGAGGAACTAAGCCCCTGGAGCACAACTGCTGAGCCCACTTTCCCAGAGCCCTTGCTCCACAAGGGAAGCCACTGCAGTGAGAAGCGCAGACAACTAGAAACAGTCTGCAGGGAGTAACACGAAGGCGCAGTGCAGCCATGAATAAATCAATTGTAAAAAAAAAAAAAAAAAAAAAGCCTAATGCCTGATGGTTGCAGGCCTGGGGGAGGAAGGAGGAGTTATTGTTTAGCAGGTGTGCGGCCTGTTTTCAAACATGGGAAGTTATGGAGATGGATGGTAGTGATGGTTGTCCTGCACTATGGATGTGTCTTGCCTTTTCATACTGCTCATGGGGTTCTCAAAGCAAGGATACTAAAGTGGTTTGCCATTCCCTTCTCCAGCGGACCACGTTTTGTCAGAACTCTTCACCAGGACCCTTGAAGAGCTGACTCATTGGAAAAGACTCTGACGCTGGGAAAGATTGAGAGCAGGAGGCGAAGGGGCAACAGAGGATGAGATGGTTGGATGGTATCACCGACTCAGTGGACATGAGTCTGAGCAAACTCCAAGAGATGGTGGAGGACACGGAAGCCGGGCGTGCTGTAGTCCATGGGGTCGCAAAGAGTCGGACATGACTTTAGGGACTGAACAACAACATGAATACCACTACACAGTACACTTCCAAATGGTGAAGATGGTACATTCTGTTATGTGCCTTTTCACGCAATTTAAAAAAAAAAAAAATTGAAGAAAAAAAACAAACCCAAACAAAACTTAACTCCTGAAGCTGCCAGCACAGAGCTGGGATATTTGAGCACTGAAGTCACGCTGTCATTTAGCAGGTCATTAAGTTCTCTTTCATGCATGTGCATGGAAAAAAAAAAAAGCATCAAGAAGCCCTAAGGACTTTCTGAGGCAATCCATGTCAGGACCCTGGATCACCCACCCAAATGCAGTCAGCGGGACTCATCAGGACAGTTCTGCGGAGCGAACCACAAACTTGCAGAGCGCAGGAGGCAGAGAGATAGTAAAGAGTAAAAAGATCACCCCCTAGCCGCTCTGTTGCCTTTTGGACCCCGCTAGGTCCTGGAGTCGGGCGGGGAGGCGGCCCTGGGGGCGGGCCGGGGCGGGGCCGGCGGTTGACACCCTGGCGCACGCGGGCCCCTCGCCGCAGACAATACGCCTCCCGGCTCGAGCGCTGCGGACGCCGCCGCCGTCACCACCCGCCGCCACTGCCACCGCCGGACGCGAGGTGAGCCCTCCCGCCCCTGCTGTGACCCTCGCTCCGCTGCCGGCCGCCCCTCCGCCCAGCCCGAGCCCGGCAGGTGAGCGCCCCGGGGCTGCCCTGGGCGCCCGCTGGAAGGTAGAGAGGCCAGTGGCCCCAGGTTTTCCTGTCCCGGCTGGATTACTTACTTGCGGGCGACGTCTGGGGACCCGGCTCCGAAACACCCAACTCGCTGGCCGGGGTGGGGAGGCTCCAGTTCCCTGGTGGGCGATCTTGGCACCCGCTGCCCCTGGGGGCCTCAGTCTCTGCATCTGTGCAATGGGGCGGCCCGTCTGCGCCGCGCGCGGGGGACCCGGCGCCCCATCGCCCTTCTCCTCCCTCCGAGGCCGGACTCCCAGGTCCTCTGGGCATCGGACCCGAGCGCAGGGCTGCCAGCCCAGGGCCGCGACGGCGCGGCCAGCAAAAAAAGAAAAAGGATGGGGGTGGGGTGGGGGAAGATGGCGTCGGGCACCGGTCCCCGCCGGCCCCGGGGTGGCGGGCGCCGTGCACCGGCCAGGGGGCCTGAGCCCGGCCGGACGCGGGACGCGGGGAAGTCCGGAACAGGAACTGCGCGCCGGGCGGGCGCGGCGCCCTCTGCCTGCCCACGCCCGGGGCAGGTGCGCCCCGCGGGGAAGGCGCCCGGGCCGCTGGTGCAAAGCAGGGACCGCCGGGCGCGCCCCATCCGGGGACCGCGAGGCGTCCCGCCGCCAGCCCCGCGCGGCCAGAACCAGCCCTGAGGGGCTCCGGGCTCCCCACCTCCTGGGTGTGAGTCGTTTTGTAAACCGTTAATTGTTACTATAGTTTTCGCCAGGACGTTGTTGTTCTTGCCGCTGCTGCTATTGTAGCATTTTCCGAGCACCTATGCCGCTTGGTTTCCTTCCTAAGCTAAGCTGCAGCTCTCCGGGAAGGGAGGGTTATGGCTTTATCCTTACCACGTTAGGGACGGCTCTGTGCTGGCCGGCCTCCAAGGATGGGAGGCCTCCTTGTACGGATGGAGAAACTGATCCTGAATTCAGGAGGCGTTATAAATGCGGTCTAGCCAAAAAGCCCAGAGCTGTTTCCTAGAAGCCAAGCCAAGCTCTCCACTCAGCCACTTTCTGGTTGTGTTGTCTTCGCTGGGTTCTGGAACCCCTGAGCCTCAGTTGCTTGTTCTGTAAAATGGGTCCATGAGGTTTCCCACCAGGGCTGGAGGAACACCACCCCTGAGTGTTGGTGGCCGTTAGTGACTTCTCCAGAGTTAGCTCTTTAACTCTATTTCTACTTATTCTGGGCTTGCCCTTGGAATGAGTTCTTAGGAGGAGCGGCACATTTGGGGCGATTGGCACCTGGTGCCTCAGTGGCCAGGGTCCCGGTCTTCGCACTGGGCTCGCGGTGCTGCTCTTCCCCAGGGTCTCATCTCCCCTCCCTCCTCAGTCCAGCATTTGGGGATTTCCCACCGTCTTAACCTCAAGGTCACTGTGGCTTCTCCAGCCTTACCAACGTTGGATTGTACAAGTTTACTTTTGCTTGTGTTTGGTTTGGGAGGAGTGGGGTCTGGGAAGAGTGGCTTCTGGGGGACAGTGCCTTGGAATGTCCTTCGGGGCAGGAAACATTTTTAATCTACCCTCTAAAATGGCTTCCAGGTGATTTTTTTTTTTTTTTGATGGGAACTTTATCAGCAGGAATATTTCTCTAAGCACCAGAGATTCTGTGCAGCCTTCCATGGGAGCGGGTGAGGCCTAAAATAAGTGGAGTGATATACTGTAGCACCGCCCCTGTGGATGTCAGACTCACTATCTCAATTGCTTCCACCTCAGAGAAGCCTTCTGTGAATACCTGATCTAGAGCGGCAGCCCTCCCCTGTTCCCGGGGGTTCCTCTCCCCTAAAGCCTTTGTTTTTTTTTTTAGGATAAGTAAGAAGTGGATTTATTTAGAGAGATAGATACACATACCATAGACAGAATAGAGTTTGTCTCAGCGAGAACGGCCTTGGGAGAAATATGCTCTACTGACAGTGTGGGCTGGCCTAGGATTTTACTTTACTTTATTGTTTTCAGGGCTCTCAAGACAGTGTGGAAATTACACGTGCTCACTTAGTATGATTTACACGAGCCTGTAGCTCCATTGGAACAGGAATTTATTATTTATTATTTATTTTTTTTCTTTTTCTTTTTGGCCATGCCGCACAGCTTGTGGGATCTTAGTTCCCTGACCAGGGATCGAACCTGAGCCCCTTGGCGCTGGAAGCGCAGAGTCTTAACCACTGGACCACCAGGGAAGTCAAAGAACAGGAATTGAGAAAGATCACACTAGAGTATCCCCCGTGCCCATCACAACCTGGGTGCTCTGGGAAGAAGCTGGTTAGAGCTTCTAAACATAGCTGGTTGTATGTATCAATATGTTTATTGTAAGTTTTATCAGGTGATCAGTAGATATAGAAACTGGGCTTCCAGGTGGCTCAGACGGTAAAGAATCTGCCTGCAATGCGGGAGACCTGAGTTCCTTCCCTGAGTTGGGAAGATCCCCTGGAGGGGAGGGCATGGCAACCCCCTCCAGTCTTCTTGCCTGGAGAATCCCCATGGACAGGGGAGCCTGGCGGGCTGCAGTCCGTGGGGTCACAGAGTCAGACACGACTGAGCGACTAAGCACAAAGGACAGATGCAGAAACTGAGCTGCAAAGAAAGGAGAGACCAGTGTCGGTCCATCTTCTCACGTCTGATCGTCTCGGAAATGGATGGGGGTCCTCGGTGAATGGCCCCATCCACCAGTGAGTCTTGACCCTGACCTCCGAGGTGTTTCCCCCTCTCCCTGGAAAGCATCCTGTTTTTAGTGATCCCATTAAGTTTGTAGACAATTAATGGCTTCTGGCTTCCCCTCCCGTGGCTGTAGTGGATCCCACGAGAGTCAGGCTGTTTTTCTCTTGGCCCAGAACAATTCTTCGGTGTTTCAAGGAAGTTCCCGGCACGCTTGGGTTTTGTTGTCGGCGGCCACCAGGAAGCCTGCGGCGGGTCTGAGTGGACGTGTGCGGCCAGCGCTTTGTCCTGCTGTGGGTTGGTTGGGGCCGGGCCCTGGGCGAAATACAGAATGTAAGCAAATAAGTCCCCAGCCCGAGTCCCTCGCTGGCCTGGAGGCGGGCAGGAGAGGCCGGGCCTGGTGGTCAGGGCCCTGGGGCGGGCTTGGGGAGGGCAGCTGATTTCCCTAGTGTCAATATTGGGATGTGACAACACAAAACACCCTCTGGGCCTTGCCAGGCGCTGCCTGGTAAACCTGTTTTTCTGGAGGTGGGAGAAGACACAGGGTCACCCAGAGTCTGAGAGGAGAGGCAAGCTCGGGGCTGGAGCTGGCAGCCCACCTGGCTCTCTGGGCAGAGGCACTGGGTCTGGCGTGGAACTCAGCGAAGGCTCAGAGGCCGGCCGGGGAGATGGGCGGATTTCCCATTTGCAGACAATGACGCATCCGGGAAATCCCAGCGGTGAACCGGGTGGGCGTGCACCTCTGCTGAGCTCCAAGTTCACGGACCAAGAGCCTCCCGTTAGTGAGCACTGACCATATACCAGCGGTCCCCAATCCTTTTGGCACCAGCGATCGGTTTCCACGGACTTGGGGGGAGGGGACCGTTTGGGGATGATTCAAGCATGCTACACTGATCATGCTTTCTTTCTGCTATTATCACATTGTGATATAGAATGAAGTAATTATATAGCTCACTGTCATGCAGAGTCAGTGGGAGCCCTGAGCTTGTTTTCCTGAGCTCAGGGGGTCATGCAGGCATCGGGGAGCAACTGTAGGTGCAGAGGAGGCTTTGCTCGTTCACCTGCCGCTCACCTCCTGCTGTGCGGCTGGACTGCTAACAGGCCGCACACCTATCTGGGTTTGCGGCCCAGGGGTTGGGGAAACCCTGCTGTAACCATGGATGCAACCTCTGCCTCCTCTCAAAAGCTGAGCGTGTCGAGTCCAGTGTCCCCTGGCCAGGAGTTGACTGTCCCGTGGGCCCAGTCCCTTCATTCTGTTGGACCTTGTGTTATCTGGTTCCCTTGGACTGTCCTCGTTCACTAGTTCCTGCTCTGAGCCAGGGCAGACAGACAGGTAAACATTTAATGAGACTGTCATGGGCTGTGTGCCTAATCCAGGTCTGTTTACACAAGGTGCTGGGTTAGGAGCAATTAATTCTGTCCTGGGAGGAGGTGAGTTCTGGGCCTGGAGGAAGATGCAAGTCCCTGATGCCAACCTGGGGAGGTAGCGGGAGGTGTAAAGGTGGGCTTGAGGGTGTGAAAAGAGAGGAGTAGGCAGCCCAGGATCTGTCCCAGGAAAGGGGAGCCCCCAAGGCTGCCGACAGGAGGGGTCTGTGTCCAGATCTGGTAAGTGGTTGAGACCCCGCAGCGCTGGGGAGACCCAAAACTGTCTGGAAGGAAGGAGACCGTGAGGGCCACGGCTCTCTGAGCCCCTAGTGTCTGGCCCCGGGAGCACATAGTTCTTCATGTAGATTCTTGTGACCTTTAATTGAAGTATAGTTGATTTACAGTATTGTGTTAGTTTCAGGTATACATCAAAGTGATTCGGATATATACATATACATATATATATGTGTGTGTATATATATATAATCCTTTCTATTAGGTTATTACAGGACACTGAATGTAGTTTCTCATGCTATATAGTAAGTCCTTATTTGTTTTATATATGGTAGTGTAGATCTGTTAATCTGACACTCCTGATTTATACTCCCTCTTTCCATTGGTAAACATAAATTTTCTGTGCCTGTTCTGTAAATAAGTTTATTTATACTGTTTTAGATTTCACATGTAAGAGTTATCATTTGTCTTTCTCTGTTTGAGAATGGTAATCTCTAGATTCATACATGTTGCTGCAAATGGCAATAGTTCATTCTTTTTGAAAAAAAAAGTGAAAGTTGGTTGCTCAGTTGTGTCTGACTCTTTGCGATTCCATGGGCTATAGTCCACCAGGCTCCTCTGTCCATGGAATCCTCCAGTTAAGAATACTGGAGTGGG